GGTGTGTTAACATGCCATGCGGCTCAAGTAAATTTAACGCTCATTTTACTAGCTAAAACAGAATATATTAGCATTATAATCAATAAGCTAGACTTGGTCAGTCTTGGCAATGGGGAAAAATAGGAACGTTTTAGTCAAAGGTGATAATATATTGATCGTTGGATACATTATAAAGCAAAATTAAATATATAAAGTTTTATGTATATATAAAGAATGAAGAAACAGATAGATAATAATACAAATGGGCAGAGGAGTTAAATATATTTCTGAAATAGGTAATCCGTGCTTACTTTATGCGATTTTCTATACTTTTCTTGTTAGCTGTCTATAATTTCATTCTTAAATGTTTTATTTTTTGCTGTTTTTCATTTCGTTTAATTTGGTTGAACTTATTTTTAAATCGAACGCCGCAAGTATATATTCTAAATTTGGCACACACCGAATTGTTGTTTGTTACAAAATATGTTTGCTTTTCTAAAACATCAACATAATTTATAAACACAAAAACCGAGTTTGTATTAAATATCTTACGATCTTTTGAGTACTCCTAATACAATTTAAAAGTTATTCTAAAACTAAGAATAGCGAGAATGAGTCTGAGTCACAAGTCCCACATTTTCGCACCCTACATACATGTTTATATACATATGTATATGCATATGCATGCCTCTGTATTTGAGTGACCGAGATTTAGAGACCTACTTTGCTTACACAAAATATAATATTCAAATATTTGATATCTGAACATTGCAATTCACAACTTGTTAAAGTTACCTATTAATAAATGTTTTGAATTACAATTCAGAGACCTTCAAATAATATTTTCTTTTCTCAGGACTTGTTTGTTCAGGATTATTCGACTATGAGATATCCTTTGTTAAGATTTGTATTGCCCTAACTGAAATAAAATGATTAGATTTATTATATTTCACAATCAAAAATGTCACTTTTGTATAAACATATCACACAAATGTGAAAAAAACCTAAAATAGATACACAGGGGAGGTTTTAACGGGGTTTTAGAAGGTTTCTATGTAAATAAAGCATATAATAGATAGGCGATGTTGATTTTAGAGCGGGGTTCATAAACCTTAAAGTTATGCTGACAGACCCGAAAATTGGTAAAGGGATAGACTCTGCTGATGATACTAAATATTTATATGTATATGTATGTGTGGTGTGGAAGAGATTCCTCTTTCAGACATGTTACATATATGTGCACGACTAAATTTAATATGTGTATTGGGGGACATATAAGTTATCTCCCATGTGAGTTAAAAAAATAGAATCACAATGTGACTTGCGATTTGATATTCAAACTGAAATAATTGAATTACGGCTAAAGGAAAGCAAAGGAAGCTTGTAAGATAACGGACGTTATCAGATCTTCAAGCGATCAGAATCTACTTTTATGCTTGGGTATGGTATAGTTGAGTTTACAGGACTTTGCTTCTCTTCTTTCTATGCTATTCTTATAGGTTTGATTGACAGCCCGGATTTCCGAAATACAACTAAGTTAATGTAAATTAATAGAGCGCTTTTTGATTATAAGATAATCAGATAAGCAAATAATCTGCTTCGGCCACAATAGATCTCGATAAAGTTTATCTGATCTTGTGCTGAACATTGCTTAGTTGTCATATGAAAAAATATAATTTAAAATACAAATAAGGCAAATGGAAAACATTTTGCATTGTATGTTTATGTTTTTTGTTCTGTGCATCCGTTTGATTTGCAAGTAATCGCAATAAAGAGCAGCCCCAATACATAGATATTTAAACACATTGTAGTACAACCCATATAAGCCACGCACATGCATATATATGCACGATCCTAAAATGTAGATATGTATATGTCGAAACGAATAGAACCGAAGACGAGCCGAGCACATCTTCGCCCACACAAGAACCCCAAAAATAGCACCAATACCCGAAACATTGCTATTTGTTTTCCTTGATTTTGTTGATGTTGAAGATGATGCGAATTGAAATTTAGTTGAAGGCAACTAAAATATATATAGCTGTATGTGTGTATGTATATATATATACATGTATGACATATATTGTTTCTGACATATGCACATACGTGCACATACTATATGCAAAACAGATTGTTGGAATATTTGGCTTGGTCTTTCTAAGTTCAAAGTTATAAATATTAGCATATGGTAAATGTACATTTACATATACAGAAACGCCCTCAATGAAATTGATATAAGAATGTATGTATGTATGTATGTTTGAACATGTATGTGTAGCTACAGCTAAAGCCGACTAAATGGAGCTTACGTACTTTGGCGAGCTTTTTGTCAAATTGACATCAAACTAGATCAACGATTTGTAGCTAGGTTTACAATTTCTTAAAGATTGTATAAGATATTGGAAATGTAAGCAAGTCAAATCATTTTGATTAAATCAAAACTGACTTGTTGATCTTAACATTGGTTATGCAATTGTAATTGCATATTCAGTAGGTCAATTCCAAGCTGACTTTCTACTCTCTCATTTGTAGTTCTTGTTTCTTGATCTGCTGCAGGTGTGTTTTCCCATGCGAAGAGCTTTTTGTAAATGGCTCAGAGTCCCGCGCCGTCTATATCCATTCGACTTGCATACATATGTATTTATAAATCTAACACCAATTTGTGTTCAGATACAGATACACATGTACGAGCAGGTCTATATTTAAGAAATAAGCATATACTTTTACCCAGTGGCATGAAATACTAAACAAAACAAAAAAAAAAACGCAAATAAGAGCACAATTTAAATGACGAGAATAATTATTCTCATTTATCATAGAAAGTCCAGCGCCATGCTAACAGTATACGTACATGCAATATACTATTTATTTATTTATATTAATTATATATTATATGTAGGTACCTTACGCATTTTGAATAACTTAAGTACATTGTAAAGTTGAAGAATGTTTTACATGTTTTAATAATTACTAGGCTCTTATTTCAAAATTATTATTTGGCAATTTTAACTAGCTGAAATCTATGTTTTAATGAGATTAACGTTTTCAATAACGATTAGTTTATGTATAAAGACAAGCCTCTTCAACAATCTCGATTAATATAGTTTAGGTTTTTTATTCTTAAAAAATTTTGAGCAAAGTCAAGTAGCTACTCATAATCAACTTTTCTCTAAGGGTTGTCTTAGGCAATATTATTAATATATTTACATATTTACTATTTTATCAGCAACCTTACATAAAATGTTCTCATTGATTTTGTTCGGATGTTTATTTAACGTGCTGATTTTATGCAATTTGTCAGAACTATAATGTATAAAATGTATAAAATTTATAGAATTTGTATCAAATATTAAAATTGGAATACATTTCTTATCAATTCTTGGGAATAACCTTAATGCAAATGATTTTTTTAGTTTTTTTTTTTTAATTTTTATAATATTTTAAATATATCTATGGAAATTTGCTAAATTAATGCTTGTATTATTATTTATATTTTTTTATTGTTAAAGTCTTTATTATTATTATAAGTAATTAGGTTGCAACGACTTAACTTTTAAAAATGTATGAATATATGTTTGCATAGCCCACTAGCATAATAAAGAGTAAACAGCCATTCATTGGAAGATTTTACAGTCTTAACTAGCTAAGTATTTCGACAATTGCAAGACAAGCAGGGTATGCTGCTCAGGTATTAGGCAAAGATGTTGCACGAACAAATCAAATGAAAATCAAAAGCAGAACAATGACGAATAGATCGAACTTATAGACAGACGGACAGACAGACAGAGAGACGAACGAACGGCCGCTGTGCAGTAAGGCCGGCTATTTGGCAGCCAAAATCGACGTCAGCGTACATATGTATGTATGTGTATGTATGTATGTGCACTCTATATATTGGATTTCTATATATAAAACTAAAATGTATTCATGATTGTCTAAAGCTGTTAAATAGTTAAGATTCGTGGGCTTTAAGGGCATGCACTGCGCTCGGCAGATGTCGCAATGTTGCAGCGTTGTTTTTTTCCACATCAAAAGTGCTCATGTAAAACATATTTATATATATACATATATGCATAGATATACTTATATATTTGATCTAAATCTTGCAATGTATTTGCACGTAGTCAAACAAATGCTATTCTATGGCTGAGCTATAAACTATGCAGAGCCTAGCTATGTGTGTGTGTGTGTGTGTGTACATTTATACAATACATACGCAGCCTAAATATATTTATATATATATATATATTTAATTTAATGGGTGTGAAATTTATGTTCAACGATATTTGATTCCAAAAACAACTCAAACGCCAACGCATAGATGCGCTATATGCCCGGCTATATTCGCTCTATATATACATGCTTGATCTGGTTATAAGCATATATACACTATATATATATATATATATACATAGCACATAGCCAATTGGAAGTATTCGTTTTGGAAATCTCTTGATTTCTCTGCGTGCGTGTGTGTGTGTGTGTGTGTGTGTGCGTTTTGTTTATTCAACAAGTTTATGTTTCAGTCGCAAGAAGGCGACGCGTCGGGCGGATGTAGGCGGTGGCGGCGGCGGTGGCGGCGGCAGAGGCAGCGGCCCACCTGAAATTGTTACTGCTACCAGGCTGGCACAGAGACACACACATACACACCCAAACACACACATACACACGCACATAAATGCTGGCACCGCCGCCGCCCACGCATTGCCGCCGAGTCCCCGGTCCATGCAATAGCTATGCGCTCCTGCGCCATGGTTGCCAAGCATTTTGTGGCTCGATTGCGTAGTCTTTGTCGCTGTGTTGGTGTCCGCCTCTGCACTCCGCGCATCGCCACTTGTTGGCCATCGTTGGGGATCGCCTCGCACCGGCATATAGCGCGCCTTTTCACGCCCGTTCATTTAATAGAGTCTGCCAATATTTATATACGCGTACGTATGTGTGTAAAGACCTTTGTCGTCTCGCTGTGTGTGTGTACATAGCGCGCATGCATTGGTAGTGGTGGGAAATGCTTTTCATTTTCCGCAAGCTGAAAAAAATTCTTTAACATAACGTGTAGCATCGCTTTGGATCGTCAGTCTGTTTAGTCGAACCGCAGCATTCGCTCCTACGACGTCAGCTGCTCGGACTTTAGTTGAGAGTTCAATTTGTTTCTTTTTCCCTAAGTAAGTTGGCCAAGTGTGTTGCCAAAAAGAAAAGAAAAGAAAAACTAAAAAATATTACAAAGTTATCGAACAAGCCAAAAAAAACTTATGAAAAATCTCTATCAAAATTGAACATAAATCCTTGCGAGTTGAACTTATAAAGAAAACGCCTAAGAAATTAATTTAAAAAAAAAAAACAGATTGCAAACAAATGCATAAAGATTGAAGAAGCAGATCTTATATAATCCTGTGTGCGCATATGCTTGAAAATTCAATTTTTTTTTTTATTTTTTTAATACAATTTTTTTCCAAGTGACAAAGCACAGAAACAATTCACGTACGCAGTGTGTTAAACAATTAAAAATGATAAGAAAAAAACAGACATGATTTTCAAATTGGATTTTGAATATCAAAGCAATTTTTTTTTTCTGTTCTATATATTTTTTGTACATTTTTTTTGTTCAATGCCTGGCAAAGACTATAAATAATTGCCCTAGGGCTTATAACAACAAGAACAACGACAACGACAACAACAACCAGTATACAAATGCAACAACTATAACAGCAGCAGCAGCAGCAGCAGCAACAGCCAGCAGCAACAGCAACAACACAAGCAGCTACAACAACAGCAGCAACAACAACAAGCAGGAATACGAACAATTTCGAAAGATCTCAGAATGAGAGCGCTTTGAGAGCCAAGTGTTATATGATCTCGCAGATACAAAGCTAAAGAATTCCTTCATTTCTGTATTTTCCTTTTGTATTTTTTGCGTTCTGAAAATTTTAAAAATAAGCTGTGCGCTTTTGCCTGTGTATGTGCGTGTGCGTGCGTGTGTGTGTGTGTGTGTGCGTGCGTGTGTGCCTGGCAGTGTATGTTTTTACCTTGGCAAAATGGCCAACACAGATACTCACACACACACAGAGACAGCGTTGTTCCGTCCACAGCGCGCAGGCGTCTCTAGACAGCACGAGTTGGCCAAGCACACACACCCACACCCACACACACACCCACACCCACACACACAAAGTCCCACGCGCATAGCCCACAAAATATACATAGACAGATCTAGCTAGACACACATACATATATATATATATACACACTTATGCTCTCGCAATGATATCTGACAAATCCAAATCGGTGCTGGAAAATTTCTATATTTAGTGCACACAGCACGAGAACGTAATATTCTATTTTTCAACTCAGCAGATTGCTCTGCTCTAGTTTCAACATATTTTCCATATGTTGCAAAAAGATTGAAACAATGAATTAAAAGAACGTAAGGGTTAATAAATGTAGAGTTAATATAAGACAGGAATTGAAGATGTAAAGCAAGGATTATAATTATTTAGACCTAGCTGAGCAGCTCTTCAATTGTATATACATATACAAAATATTTGTCCCAACAAGAAAATATTGCAAATAGCGAAAAAGTTTAACTAAGGTTTATATTATTATCACCAAAAGGCGCTGAGACTTATTACAGTTTGTCATGTTAAGTATGCGCTCTGGCTTTTCCAATAGTTGTTGAACCTGCTGTAAGAAAAATCAGTTAAAATATTTTTAGCATTTTCAATACATGCATTTAAACACATGTGTGTAAATTTATTTTTACATGCAGCCATATTTTAGTGACCCGATTTTATAGCACGAAAAATGCATAAATATATATACATACATATATATAAATCTTGTAATTATGAAATCGTAGACAGACTCACACACACACATACACATGCACACACACCTACATAGGATTGCATTCTTCTGTCGAGCATTTTGACAATTTGCATTCAACTTTTTGACATTTGGCTGTCAGTCAGAGTTTAGCTTAATTTGCTTGGTTTAGTTTTTATTTATCTTGTGTGTTGGCTATGGTTGATAGTTTTGCAGTTTGCCTTTGATTTAGTGCCAAGGTAAAAATCGGAACGTTTCCCGATCAAAAGTAATCGTAAAAGCTCTTCAAGCGCTTCGTATAGTTGCGAGTCGTCGTTAGAGAAATTCAATACGCGCCGTCTATTTTTAACAGAAAGCCAAAGCATTTCACACAAAACTCAACACAAAAATTAAGCAAAATAAGATATACATATACGTATACACACACGCACACACACATACAGTATATATAAAAATATATAAAAATATATATATATATATATGTATACATATGCACACAGACAGAGGCAACAGCAGAAAGAGTATATAAAATTAAATAACCGAATTTTGTAAGAGGCGCCCAAATTATGATCTGATACAATATTGTCGCCGGCTATATAAAAATAAAGATGGCTAAATTTGTGTGTTTGTGTGTGTGTGTGTGTGTGTGTGTGTCTTATGACAGCATACAGGCATAGATATGTTATAGATATACATAGATATAATGTATACATATGCAGATACAGACACAGATACTGCCCCTGTCTAAATATAGAGCGATATCAAGGCGAAAACAACAATGACAACAACAACAACAAGAACAAGAACAACAACAATAGGAGGAGGCTGTGGCTATTTTGGTTTTAGCCAATGTTGTTGCTGCTGCTGCTGGCGTTGCTGCAATTGACAATTAGCAGTAAGCAGTAAGCAGTTAGCAGTTAGCAGCACGAGCAGTGAACAGTAACAGTGCATAATAACAGTGAACTGTGAACAGTGACAACAGCAAGCGTAACAATAACATTAACAGTGAGATGTGTGAACCGTAATTAATCAATGTGTTTTCCCTCTTGCCTTTTTAGGTTTTTTCAATCCTAAACCGTAACCATGTCCGACGATGAGGAATACACGTAAGTACATATCCTGGGCAGGCAATAGCAGGCATATTAAGTATGCGCCACGTGCGCCGCGGCACGTTTATTATTTAATCATACAACAGTTGAGATCAGTGTGTCTCTTGGTATAGCTGCGTATTGTTATGAAATTAATGATGACAATTTGTACTAAGGATATCCGATATCGAAAGCCAATAACTAATTATTAAACCTTTAAACTTGGGCACTTACAGATCACTAGATTTGATATGTATATATTATTAGTTTTAAATTAAATTAATATTTGATTAACTTCAACACATACATGCACAGTTTTTGTAGTTGTGTGCGTGTGTTTGTTTAAAAAAATACACTGGGTTTTTGACTTTTTTATGGCACATGTTTGATTTGTATTCCTTTTACACAATTTCTACTTTCATCACAATCCCCCCACTTTGGACCCAACCACCAACCCATCCACGTACAACAATACACCACATGAAAATATGATATGATTTATGTATGCCGGCAACTCCGGGACTCTGTGAACCACCATTATACCCAATCCCAAATGTTTTAATCAATCAACTGCTAATGTTGTCGTTTCGTTTCTCTCGAAATCAATAACAAACAACTTGACAACAACAACTACAACAACAACTCGAACAACTATCTTGCATACACACCAACCAATTTGATCCAATCTATCAACTAAATCGAACCAAAATGCACCTGTGATATTGTTTTTTGCACAAAACCAAATACACATCGTTTAATTACGAACACGCCAGCAGTTCCGAAGAGGAGGAGGTTGTCGAGGAGACCAGAGAGGAGACGTAAGTAGTTTTTGTGGCCAAACTGAGCAGCTAAAACTCGATTGGTGTTCTCTTCTTTTTTATGTTTTTTTTTTTAACAATTATTATTTGATGTATTTTACATATTTGAATTTGTATTTGTATACGTCCTTGTATTTGTGTTTGTTATGCAAAAAAAAAAAAACAAACAAACAAAAAAGAAAATTTGAGAAAGTCAATGTGCAAATGCCCAAAATATCCCACGCAACATTTCTGTTTTGTGTACTTGTCTGTAGTTAATTAACTTTTGATTTCATTTCTTTTTTATTATTTTGTACATTTTTTCTTAAATTTTATTTCTTTCTTATTTTTCGTTTTTGTTTTCTGTGTTGTTGTACTCGTACTTATATCTTGTCCTATATATATATATATACATATACATCAATTGCTATTTGAACAATCTGAACAAAACTTTTGTACAAAATGTACTAACTCATACATACATATCCACACAAGCAATGAAATCATATTTTAGAAACCAAACAATTACAAAAAATATAACAAAAATTCCAAAAAAAAAAAAAAACAAAAAAAACACATCCACATTATTTCCCGAACCGCACCCAAAACATATCAGAGTAAATTCCAAATTCCAAACAACCAAATTGGCAAACGTTATGTACATATTAAAAGCTGTCTTTATGTGTATCCTAGCTATACTATTGCCTACCCCGCCAACACCCCGCCCACCCAGTCAAAATTCAGTATACATTTAAATATATATATTCACATATATAAATATATATATATATGTATATGTATTGTATTCGTATTTGTAATCGTAGCCGTAACATGTCTTTCCCTTTCCTCCAAAATTTGAAAAATGAATAAAACCATTCGAAATTTCTGAGAAAAAAATAATAATAAAAAAAACGCAAAAGTAAATTTCGCCTATCGCTGGCCTGGCTTCTTGTTCAACCAATTAAGAATTTAAGACATTGAATTTTAAATCACATTTGTTTTTCTCTCTCTTTCTCCCCGTTTTTCTATTTCTCTTTCTTATTACAGGAAGTAAGTAATTGCGTTACCAAATAATATTCCTATTTCTTTAAAGTACCGATAACGAAACGAATGTGTAGGAAAATAATCTGTAGCCTGAGATTTCAGAGCGGCTCGGTTGCTGCCAACGTCCAGATCAGAGATCAAGCATAACGGTGATATCAGTTACTCCGAAAAAAATATTGTATATATATAAGGAACTTTTGGGAAATATTAACTTTGAGAAATATTAAGTTTCTGCAGTTGAAAGTATAGTGAATTCTGAGTGAAGAGTGCTTTGTGTTTGCATAAGGATTATAAAAATAAACATAAGATCAAGTTAAAGAGGAATGGAAATGTGCACAGCCCACAAAGAGAAACCGGAATGTTCGCAAACCAAAATTCGCCCAGTCTAAATTTTGTTAAATTCGTTGCTCGAATTTCATTTCCAACAACAAAACCGTCCAAAAAAATAAAAACCTTTTCATTGATTTTGTACAAAGCACAGCAAAACTTATTTTTGATCATTCAAGACCAGCACCAGTTCCAGTTCCAGTTCAAGTTCCAGTTCCAGTTCCAGTTAAAGTTTTAGTTTTGAGTTTTGAACATTTGTATAAATAGCTTTCAGTTCGTTGCTTGGAATTTAGTTTTAGAATTTACAATTTACAACATGCCAGAAAACAACAACAACAACAAAAACAACAACAACAAACAACAAATACGTACTTACATTAATTTATTGTTTTTAAACTATTTTCGTTTTGTTGCAACAACAATAATTGTTTTCTATAATTTTTTTTAAACAAAAATGTTTTTCTCTTTCTTTTCAACGATTTTTTTGTTTGTACAATTTACAAAAAAAAAAAACTATAAATATTTTTGTTACATATGAAAAAAAAAAAATACAAATCTCTCAACCCAACACGTGTTTTTGCGTACTTCATCGTGAATTTGTGCCAATCTATAAATAAAAAAAAAAAACCAACCAATTTTTGAAACACAAAACCACCAAATATATCAAAACCACCTCCATGTTTGCCTCACGTATAGAAAACCACCTCAGACACCAGCCGAGTAAGTTTATGCCATACGAAATGTGTACAAAAATGATATGTAAAGTCTAACACATACTAAATTCTTAGTGATATCTTAAGCGGACACCATTTTCGAATACTTAATATTATTAGTTTATGTATATATGTATGTTAACTATATTGCCTGCTAAACGAATACTCACCAAACTCACCCAACTCACCCATCGTCGCAATCAAGACGACCTCTGCAGTATGCACAACTCCCCACACTTGTTTACTAGACCTAGTTATAGGTTATGTACGTCTGTATATAGATTACTCATCCAATCAATATGTGCAATATATATTTACATTGCATTCTAATATCTCGAATATCTCACATTTTTGGTGTGTTCTTGCATTACTTTTTATCTAGTATAGTCTAGAAGTATACCAGCTGCCCCCCAGATGGGGCTCTGGGTCCGCCCTGTAGCTGATATTACTAACAATTTTGTAGATCTAATGCTTCTTGATATGGTCACTAATTGCTAAGTTCTTAACCAGTCCATAAATATAAAAATATATATATATATATACATATATTATATACTATGTAGTTATGCACATATTTACACTAGAGTGAAGCGGATATTAAACATATAAATAATTCCAAATAATACTCGTAATATTTAGTAATCAACAAGAGTTCAAAGCCAATTTGACGTAATTGTAATTAATTTTAGGATTAAATACATATAGTTTTAGTCGTACCCTACGTACAGCTTAGTTAGTTTAGCCAGCTAAACGATTCGTATATATTTATGGCAATTACTAATTGTTTGTCCTGTTTGATGTGCTGTGCAGAGGTGAGGGCGATCCAGAGTTCATCAAGCGTCAGGACCAGAAGCGCTCCGATCTCGATGAACAGCTGAAAGAATACATCAGCGAATGGCGCAAACAGAGATCCAAGGAGGAGGATGAGCTGAAGAAACTGAAGGAGAAGCAGGCCAAGCGCAAGATCTCGCGTGCCGAGGAGGAGCAAAAGATGGCCCAGCGCAAGAAGGAGGAGGAAGAGCGTCGCGTCCGCGAGGCTGAAGAGAAGAAGCAGCGCGATATTGAAGAGAAGCGCATGCGTCTCGAGGAAGCCGAAAAGAAGCGTCAAGCCATGTTGCAGGCCATGAAGGACAAGGACAAGAAGGGACCCAACTTCACCATTGCCAAGAAGGAGACAGGCGTGGTAATTATATGAAATTCCATAAATGCAGCCTACTTATACACTTCCCCAAACCATTCTCGTATTTTGCCGTTCCAACCTCTACGTTCTTGTATATTTCGTTATTTTTTTCCGATTCGTATCCGTTCGTTGCCATTTCAATTATTTAATCTCATTTTACACACAAACCCACACACACCACAATTTTGCTAATCTGTCATTTGCAATACATGTCTTTTACTCTAAACCGTACCTGTTCCACACGTACCACCGTAACCTGCCATCCCCAACCAAAAATTGTTGTTATTTTTGTTACAAAAAAAAAAAAAAAAAAAAAAAAAAAAACTATACAAAAAAACACACACACACATCCAAAAAAAAACCAAAACACAACGAAATGTGTCAATTATAAATGGAAAAAAAATCGAAAATTGCACGCATATAGTTGGGACTGTCGTCCGCCGCCATGGAACGTAACAAGACTAAGGAACAATTGGAGGAGGAGAAGAAGATCTCGTTGTCGTTCCGCATTAAGCCCCTCGCTATCGAAGGCTTAGGCGAGCAGAAGCTGCGTGAGAAGGCCCAGGAACTGTGGGAGCTCATCGTCAAATTGGAAACTGAGAAGTATGACTTGGAAGAAAGGCAGAAACGTCAGGACTACGATGTGAGTATACACTTGTACACTCGTACAGTGCCTTCAATTAAATGACGTCCGCTTGCAGTTGAAAGAGCTGAAGGAAAGACAGAAGCAACAGCTCAGGCACAAAGCCTTGAAGAAGGGTCTCGACCCAGAAGCTTTGACTGGCAAATACCCGGTAAGAACTTAACCCCTTATCATCATACTGTTCTATTTTGACAGCAAATCTCATTTGATTACAGCCCAAGATTCAAGTCGCCTCCAAATATGAGAGACGTGTGGATACCCGCTCATATGACGACAAGAAGAAGCTCTTCGAGGGTGTAAGTATTCGGGTTGCCAGGGCTGACACTTTTGTTAGCCGCGGGTTCTTCTCAGAAACTTTAGCAAAACAACGGGTTGTTTTTTTTTTTGTACTTTTCTCTATATATCCACCATATAGGGTTATAATACGGTGTATGCGGAAAACTTAGAAAAAACATGGCAAGAAAAACAGGAAAGGTTTACTCAGCGCACAAAATGTAAGCGCGTACAATTCATACACATTTTGGAGACTCTCTTCAAACTCATTGTCTACGTATAAAATGTCTACTCGTATATTATGTCTATGTCTTTTGTACTATTCTGTACTATTCGTACCACCTGCATACATACTACTTATGTTCAATGTATACAAAGGCACCGCCAAAGTGACCAAAATCTTATCCATTGTGTCAGCAATTCAACCATATTTGTCTGCCAGGCAGTCAGTCAGTCAGTCAGTCAGTCAGACGGTCAGACGGTCAGACGGTCAGTGTGAAAAGTTAACATATTTGTATATTAGATTTGTTGGGGGTCCAATTCACAATATTCGTAGCTAACGATAACACACTTAACGTCTACTCTCTTTTATTTCTTTCTATGTTCTGTATACTATATTTTATAAATGTCAACTGTATTTGCGTGTTTCGTACTATTTCGTAACATTCGCATAAACTAAAACCAAAAAAAATTATAAACACACACAAAAACGCACACACACTTTTGGGACACAGGGCTGGGATGAGATCACCAAGGATGTAAACGAGAAGATCTGGAACGAGAAGAAGGAACAATACACCGGCCGCCAAAAATGTATGTACTCCAATTGCCTAGCTTCACACCTGGCATTGTACTATAGTCTGGTAGCTTATCCTGTAACTGGTGGTTACTCAAATTGTAACTGTGACCGTACCGCAGGGAAAACAGCGGGCGACAACAGCAAAACACTATTTTTTTTTTACCAGTCATCATTTTGTTCATTGTCGTGCCATGTTTTCCATGTCCAAATTGTTGTTTATGAATGTAATTACAAGCCTTAAGTTTTGGTATGCTAATGTTGCACTTCTCTGCCCGATCCAATATAGCCAAACTGCCAAAGTGGTTCGGAGAACGACCAGGCAAGAAGGCCGGTGAGCCCGAGACACCCGAGGGCGAGGAGGATGCCAAGGCCGATGAGGACATCGTCGAAGATGAAGATGAGGTCGAGGAGGAGGTCGTCGAGGAAGAAGACGAGGAGGCCGAGGAAGATGAGGAAGAAGAGGAGGAGGAAGAGGAGGAAGAGGAAGAGGAGGAAGAAGAGGAAGAGGAAGAAGAGGAGGAAGAAGAATAAATAAATAAATAAATTTTTTCGTAAAACTACATTTAAACAAAACCAAACAAGAAAAACCAAAGCCAACAATTTTAATAAAAGTAAAAGAATGAACTAAATAGTTATTATTAGCTTATTCAAAATACTCAAGAAGAAGCAAACATGAAAACTACCACATTTTTTTATTGAACAAGAAATGTACATTTCTTCCAAATAAAACATCAACAACACCAATTAAAAAATCTAAATTACAAAACAACAACAAAAACAAGAAATTAAAGTGTTATACCATCATATCTATGCACAATTTATTTTGTTTGTGTGTGTGTATGCTGTAACACTAGTGCGGGTCCAAAATAGATGATCTTCACTTAATCTCTGGGCTGCCTCTACAGGTATTGGGTTATCTTTGGCAAAAGAGTACAGCACCGACCATGATTGGAATATATTTGACTGTCGCTTGGATCAGATTGGAGCTATTCAGAAGCCATATGGGCCAGCTCTCAAAAGCTGTTGACTCCAAGAATGTGAGAAGGTTGGCTTTATCGTACAGTGCGGGCTGTGCTTAATACTCGGATACGTTCAGTTGAACCTAGCTTGGTTCGTTGACAATAATTTTAAGCTTGCAATTAATATATTAAGTAAGTTTTTATGCTGTCGGTCGGATCCTATGGCTGCTATAGGTATTACAATATGTTTTTATTTCAGAAAGTGCGCAGTTTTCGCTTAATTAAGTCATTGTTTAGAATTGGATTTGAATTGGAGAGTCGCGATCCGTACGAGGCAAAAATCGTTTAATCTTTGCAAATCTGACTATATTAAACGGAACAATATATCCTATATCGCATTGCTGTGACAGGCTTGAGACCCTTTGTGAACATTTATGTTTGGGTTGATAATTGTGATCTCTATGAGTTCAATAGGCTATACCATTCAAACATCTGCATTGGGATATTTACATTTTCAAATGAGTATTGTCTTTTTAGAATCGATCTAATTTTTACAAAGTTTGAAATGTAATTTTTGTCAAAATTGATTGACTGCGAATCGAGAGTTGGAATCTGAGTTCAGAAACGTATTCGAAAATTTTTGCAGGCAATGCTCAAATTTAAAACTAATAATTTAGACTTCAGAATTCGATCCAATTTTTACAAAAACTATAATACAGCAACTTTTCCTTTTTTTTAAATTAAAAATTGAATTTTTTAATGCCAATCGAGAGTTTTGATCGGAACGAGTACAGAAAGCTATGCCACACAAAAATCTGACGATTATTGCAGGATATATTCCAATTTGAAAGCGAAAAATGTTGATTTTAGAATCGATCCAACGTATTTCTTAAATTTGTTCAAAATTCAAATTTGGAATTTTTGAATACCAATCGCATATCGAAACCGTACCAACATTAAAAGATATATCTTTCAAAGGGTATAGCTAATTGTGATGTCGGTTTTCTCACATTTGTTCTAAATTTAGATTTATAATTTTTGAATGCCAATTGCACATTAAAATCAGTACAAGTGCAAAAAGTTATATCATTCAAACGGCATAGCTATTCTAAACGCCAATAAATATCCTGAATATATAAATATCGTCAAAATTGACGTGCATTCATTTTAGATTGTAACTTTTATTTAATTTATTTTTTTTTTATTTTTTTTTAATTTTTAGAATATATTTAATATATTTTAAATTTGTTTTATGTTTTGTTTATCGTCATTAATAAATATTGTACAATTTGCTTAAGTTTATATTATTTTGCAATGTGTGTATATTTGTTTATTGAAAAACACGATACTCTGATTGATTTGATGACAGTTTTCTGGCATTGTTATTATGCATTCATTCGTTTTCGTTGGATCTTGCAGCGTGTGCACGCAAACAGCTTAGATATAATTTTGGTAAACACATTATAAATTTGCTAAACATTTATTTCATTTGTATGTATGTATGTATGTAAGTATGTTGTTTAAGTATCTTTGAGCTTTGATTGTCTGTCAGCTGCAAGCACGCTACTCCTCCCACCTCACCCACTAATGCAAGATGCGCATATTTTTTTATGACATTCACTTATATACAAGTACATACATAGTCGTATTTATCTTATGCTAGGGTCTATTTCATATCTGCAGCAACTGCCAATTAATAATGTTAGGGTAAATATTTAAAACATAATTTCCCCAAAAAAGCTAATAAAAATAGATTACATTCACATTCACAATTAGTTTACACCCAAACACTAATATACTTATATTTGAATAGTACTTATAAAGTTTGCTAAACTCTTAAAGCATACATATCCATATGCGTGTATGCCACGAGAGTGAGGCAGACAGCGATATTTGAGAGTAGGTTAAGTATCTGTTGTAAAAATTCTGCTGTCCTCTTTAATTTTTTATTTTTTTTTGGTATGTGTTTTGCAAATTTATTTCCATTTATTGTCAGCAATTCTTTTTTTTTTCTTTTTTAACAATGCGCGAAAACAAGTTTAAAAACAAAAACAAAAAAAACGTTTGGACTAAAGCTAACAGTAAGTACATGCTTTCTATCCCGTTCACGCACACACACGCATACACCACGCACACGCGTGGGGACGGACAGTAGTGCAATAAATGTGAGCGTGTGTGTGAGCGCGCTACACTGCCTGTTCAAATGAAACATTCACCAGATATTATTGTTATCTAAAGTAAGCCTATAACATCAACAGCTCTTAAATTTTAAGCCTAGGCGCGTATTTAGTCCTGTTTTATACTACTTATACGATCTTTTTTTATATGTCACACATATACACGCACATAGGTTTTAAACTATTACACAACTTTAATTAACATTAGACATTTATATGTATGTGTATAAGTTTGTATGTTGTATACATAGCACATATACATATATATATCTATGTATATGAATATATATATATGATTATACATTCAGTCAATTTATAGCAACAAAATAGTTTACAAAAAAAAAATCTACTTTTATTTATAATTTGCTATAAACACATACACGCACGAATGTAAATGTGTTTGAAATATCGATATTAAAAGCTCTTTAAGTTTTAATTTTCTTTTTTGTTACTATTATCTTTAGTTTTAAAACGTGTTCGAAAAAAAGCTGAGCTTGTGTATATGAAGAAAATGTATAAAAAAAAAACTCTTTTTAATATACTTTGAGCACTTAGTTGTGAGTCCCAGCTCTGCAGAGCGAGACATGTTAAGAGCTTGAGATTCGGAAAACTCGAGTTCAACAAGATGTGTTAAAAGATTTTCATTATAATATTAAAAAACAGAGCTTGTATATTATGCATACTGTACAAAATTAAATGACAGAAGAGACTTACAATATGAAAAAAAAAAAAAAAAAACAGGAGCATCAAACGATATTAAATGGACACAAGTCTCGAAAAACGTTTATAAAAAACCTTTCAAAATGGCCAAAGGCTATATAAAAATTAAATATATATATATATATATATATGTAAATGTACAATTTACTCGTTATAACAATAGTGTGGGGATAGTACTTAAGAGGAGCTTAGCAGTGAGCGCCCTGCAACAATTTTTATTTTTATTTTATAATTATTATGTTCATTTTTTTTGGTGGTATATGCTAATCATCTTTAACTTATGTGTACATCAATAATATATGTATATGTAAATTGTGTATTGTATGCGGCAACTGTGTCTTTAAAGTTTCTTTTTTTGTTTTTACTAAATTTTTCTGACAACACACAACAGTTGAAAGCAAATATATATATAGCACATATATAACAAATGCATATGCGTATATATAACTATATATGTATATGAACATACATACATCTACGTATTTATATGGAAATGATGCACATACATGTGCTTACACTCTTGATAATACAATTTGAAATTGGTTTGCTAACATTTGATGTCTGTCTGTTGTTGTTGCCGCTGTCATTTTGCCGTGTGTCGTCTCAATGTTTGCCCCGCGGTAATCTTATGGGTATATGCGGATATCATGTGTCTTCCAGTGCACCGACATATTGCTTGCCATTGCCATTGTTGTTATTGTTGTTGTTGTTGCTGTTGTAGTTTGAAGGCAGCTGCTTTATCGTGATGACATCCTTTGGCTTTTGTTTTTGTTGTTGATGCCGTGACTCTCCCTGCTCCTGCTCCAGCTCCTGATCAGCCTGCTGATGATGCTGCTGCTGGTGCTGGTTTTGCTGCTGCTCTTGTTGCTCTGGTATTATTTTATTGATATTAAACATGTTATTGTTGTTGACATTACTGTGGCTATTGTTGTTTTCAATGGTATTATCCTCATTATTATTGTTTTTATTATTATTATTGTTTACGTTGTTGTTGTTGTTGCTGTTGATGTTGTTATCATCTGATTTGGGTTCCATCATCAGCACTTGCTTCGCTTTATTTTCCCATAACATTCGGTTGGCTTTTAGCTACATGGAAAACATTGCACAAAATATAAACACAAATGAGTTATACATATATTCGCAAATACTGTAGGCTCGCATAATTTTGCCAACATTATTATACTTGATATCATAAAAATACATCCTCCATATATGCGCATGCATAATTCGAACGTTTGCAAATTAGAAGCTGTTGCTCGCATTATTTATAAGCTGTCATTTATATTTTGTTGTTGCTGTTATCGTTCAGGTTGTTGTTGCTATGGTTGCTGTCGTTGTTGTTGTGCTGTGCACATTAACCGATGCATTGTAATGCCCAGGCCCGCTTAGCCATACAACAAACACCCACTCCACAGCCGCAACACGTATGCAAATAGCTGGCACATTGAGTGCAAATGCGACGCGAAAATTGCAAACATTTTGGCATAATTATTTACACGCTTAACGCGTGGCGCGTCAACATGAAATGATTATGCAACTTGCAACATTTCGAAAATCACGCTGAGTCCCGACTTTGATATTATAATTTGGAATAGAAATCTACTGGCAGATGACGTCAGGAAGTTTGCCCTAAAAGTTAAGGTGCCCTTAAGGCCTCATTAAGCAAATGCTTATCCACATCTAAAATGCCATTTATACAGTTCCAAGGGTTAATTGAGCACGACGAGCACGTTCAGGCTTTGACGCTCTGAATCATTGCTTTCATTAAATATGCT